ACATGCCTGCTCCTGGGTCTCTGACAGTGGAATGATGTGCAGTTCTCCTTTGTAAAAGAACACCTGGCAGATAGTAACACTCATCAGACAGAATAAGAACAATCACACACTAAGCAATGGAAAAATCAATTTCATGTGAGAATGCCTTTAAGCACAGAGAATCCTGAAGTACAAATAGAGAAATAACACAGTAAATGGCACATATTTTTTTTCTTTTAATGGGAAATGGGGTAAATACAGATGCCAGAGACCACGATCCAACTGGTAAATAAAAAAACACCCTATCTTAACTTGAACAAGTTTGGTGAAATACATCTTGTTTCCTTAGTAACATGTGAAGTTTCTTTTCAACTAGAGATTTGCTTCAGCAGAATCTGACAGCATAACCTAACTGCTGAAGAATAGGATAGAGACTTAAAAGCATTATTTTAGGTGCTCCCTGTGAACTCTGTTGGATCCTGATCCTAAGACCTGAATGTAACATTATCAACTCCCTCACTCTGCCCATTCCCTCAAATGGAAGGAAAATACGGTCCTGATAGTCCAGCTACAGGCTTGCAACTAATTTTTGCTTTGTGTTCCACCCCTTTTCTTTCAAGAGTCTTCTGGCAGGAGAAAAAAAAAAAACCTACCCAAAAAAACCCCCAGCTCTTTGCCAATTGAAAAGTAAATTCTTCCCATTTAAATCCATTGCCAAGAAACTTAGTGACATAACTACTTGCAATTTTCCACAGCGAGGCGATCTGGCTGCAGCCTCCGGGTGAAGGAATCCACTCATTAATTGACTTATACCAGAATCAGTCTGTCTCCCCATAGAGTCAGCAACACTCCAACATTCCCCAGTCTGAGGGCAGCAAAGCCTCACGCCTGAGCACTCAAAAATATGGTAGAAAAAAAACAAGTGGCTATAGCTGAGCTAGAAAGTTCAGGTAGATCCAAAAGTGCTCCTGAGGAGAGCAATATGGTAGGTTTGTACTACATTGCCAATACATTCCACAGTTCCTATCTTATCTAAGCTTTCCTTGCACTCCACTAACCTAGAAAATTGAAAGGTGGTCAAACTCAATGATTTTACAGATCAATCAGTAGCATGATAGCTTCACTGCCTTCACATTTGCCACCAAGAGTAGCAAGTTTTAAACAGTTCAGTCAGCTCTGCATTATGGGACAACTCTTAAAGAGCAAATTATGTGCAAGTGTCAGATCTAGTTGAACAACACAGACTCACAACCCAGCAGGCAGGTCTGCAGTCACATGAATGTTTGCTGTTAGCATAAAAACGTATAAGAAATTTCTCTTTCTTCCTTCCATTAACAAACCCATTCTAGAAGAACAACCTGATATCTGTAACAATTTCCAGGTATCCCTACAGCAGTTTCTCAGACTCACTCTACACAGCATTCTGCAAGAGTACACAGATCAGAGCCAAGTATCTGAGGTTTCCAGTGGTTAGGTCTCTCATTCAACATCCACAGCAAGCATAAGGAAGCTCATTAAAACCAGAATGAAAACAGACTGTGCTGAAAAAACCCTATGCTGTTAATTAAAACAGGTCTTGAACCTTGACCAGAAGTTTCTTCACTAGTTAGGGATAGATAGCACTCTGCATTTTCAGTGGTAGTCAGACCACTTGGCTACAGAGAGGTGCAAGAGAAAACTCCATCTCGTAAGTAAAAGGCCCATTGTGAGCCACTTTGTCAATGGGTACAGAAGTTTTACTCACCCTGTTGTCACTATTCTCAGGACTCAGCCACTTTGGCAGAAAATCAGCTGCTTCTATCAAGAGAAACTCCCCATCGTTGTCATCAATCCTGGCCAAGTAGAAATCGATTTCTTACCAGAGAAAGTCTCACACAGCACAATTAACACGCACTTCCAAACCCATGTCTGCATTTTATTTTAATGTTAGGACACGACCTCCCGTCAGCCCGTCAGGAAGCCCCTTTGCACCCCCTG